GCTCTGGATAAGAGCGTCTGCTAAATGACTAAAATGGTTTTTTTTTATGTAAAAGATGTATATAAGTATGGTCACTGTGGGCACAACATTATTGATGCACTTATTAATGAAGCCAGTGACTGATGTGGTAAACTCCTCAATGTTATCGGATGAATCCCAGAACATATTCCATTCTGTGCTAGCGAAACAGTCCTGTAGCTTAGCATCCGCTTTATTGGACCACTTCCGTATTGAGCACGTCACTGAAACTTCCTGTTTGAATATGCCAATAGGCCAAGGCCTGTGTGTTATTACACCTTAATTAACCAATCACCAGATGCAATTCAAACTTTTTTGTTGTTGTCCCAAAGAAAGATACATGGGGTTACAATTTGGGGTTCAAATCAAGTTGCACCATGGTGGTTCAAACCACAACGGATTTATCAAAACATTTTACATTGTTTCAAAGTGGTCCCTGACACCTGAGACAAATATAGGCCCAGGCATATACCTGCATGTATTCACTTTAGGGAGCAGAGATTTTAGAAAATATGATTTTAAGGTGCAAACCTCTTTCGGTCATGAAGAAGAGAATGGTGTTCCAAAATAAACTAGCCTACTGTTGAGGAATCCCCATGTATGAAAATATCATGACACTTTATATGCACTAGATGGAGACAACGTATCAACCCCAGTCAACAGTCCCACAGAGAGATTATATGAAAACATATTGAAAGAGGCTTTGAAACAACTAGAATGTCAGTTTTATAACTACAGCCCCATAGCGGTGTGTCCACCAGGCTGAGATTAACACATACTTGTAGAGATGAAAGCACCTACAGTTGGTTGCTATACTTGTGTATTGGAAACAGGTCGTATGCAGAGGAGCGTTGTTTTTCTATTTGTGAATAGCACCATTATAGATGTGTGCCATTCATTAAAAAGTAAAGGACTGCAATCTTACAGTACACAAAAGATATACAACAAATAAAAAACTAGAAACACAGATGTATAGGATGTTTTTATTTGTAAAAAATATATACTAATAAAAAAATGTGTAGGCATTTTTGGCTTTTCAAATAACTAACTTAATAATGCTGAAATATGGCCCCATTCAACTTTATTCTAATGCATTCAAACTAGAGATATTTGCCAGATGCATTATTAGAGAAATATTAAGCAGAGCATAATTCCGCTGTAGAAATACTGTAGTTCCATTATTTGAAATGTGGGGCAATATAATGAAAACATGCAGAAGGCCTACCTCAAGTTTGTACAACTATGACACAAATCTCTAGAATGTATTTACAACATGCCCTGACATGTCTACTAATTGGCTACTCTGTTTGACTGCAAAATTTAACTTTCCTCTCACTATGCCCCCCTCCCTCTCTCTCGCTCTCTCTCCCCTCCCTCTCTTTCTCTCACTCTGTGTTTGAGTTCTTCCTATTTAAATAGCTTTGAAAGCAGAAATGTTAGTACAGTGAAGGAAAAAAGTATTTGATCCCCTGCTGATTTTGTAAGTTTGCCCACTGACAAAGAAATGATCAGTCTATAATTTTAATGGTAGGTGTATTTGAACAGTGAGAGACAGAATAACGACAACAAAAATCTAGAAAAACGAATGTCAAAAATGTAATAAATTGATTTGCATTTTAATGAGGGAAATAAGTATTTGACCCCCTCTCAATCAGAAAGATTTCTGGCTCCCAGGTGTCTTTTATACAGGTAACGAGCTGAGATTAGGAGCACACTCTTAAAGGGAGTGCTCCTAATCTCCGTTTGTTACCTGTATAAAAGACACCTGTCCACAGAAGCAATCAATCAATCAGATTTCCAAACTCTCCACCATGGCCAAGACCAAAGAGCTCTCCAAGGATGTCAGGGACAAGATTGTAGACCTACACAAGGCTGGAATGGGCTACAAGACCATCGCCAAGCATCTTGGTGAGAAGGTGACACCAGTTGGTGCAATTATTCGCAAATGGAAGAAACACAAAATAACTGTCAATCTCCCTTGGCCTGGGGCTCCATGCAAGATCTCACCTCGTGGAGTTGCAATGATCATGAGAACGGTGAGGAATCAGCCCAGAACTACACGGGAGGATCTTGTCAATGATCTCAAGGCAGCTGGGACCATAGTCACCAAGAAAACAATTGGTAACACACTACGCCGTGAAGGACTGAAATCCTGCAGCGCCCGCAAGGTCCCCCTGCTCAAGAAAGCACATATACATGCCCGTCTGAAGTTTGCCAATGAACATCTGAATGATTCAGAGGAGAACTGGGTGAAAGTGTTGTGGTCAGATGAGACCAAAATGGAGCTCTTTGGCATCAACTGAACTCGCCGTGTTTGGAGGAGGAGGAATGCTGCCTATGACCCCAAGAACACCATCCCCACCGTCAAACATGGTGGTGGAAACATTATGCTTTGGGGGTATTTTTCTGCTAAGGGGACAGGACAACTTCACCGCATCAAAGGGACGATGGACGGGGCCATATATACGGTCAAATCTTGGGTGAGAACCTCCTTCCCTCAGCCAGGGCATTGAAAATGGGTCGTGGATGGGTATTCCAGCATGACAATGACCCAAAACACACGGCCAAGGCAACAAAGGAGTGGCTCAAGAAGAAGAACATTAAGGTCCTGGAGTGGCCTAGCCAGTCTCCAGACCTTAATCCCATAGAAAATCTGTGGAGGGAGCTGAAAGTTCGAGTTGCCAAACGTCAGCCTCGAAACCTTAACAACTTGGAGAAGATCTGCAAAGAGGAGTGGGACAAAATCCCTCCTGAGATGTGTGCAAACCTGGTGGCCAACTACAAGAAACGTCTGACCTCTGTGATTGCCAACAAGTACTAAGTCATGTTTTGCAGAGGGGTCAAATACTTATTTCCCTCACTGTAGGCTTAATTAGGACAGGAGTAGAATTATGAGTTTTGGGAAACACTGAAGGCTAGGCCTAGGTGAGAAGGGACGCTATTTGTTAAAATTAGAATTAGGCCTACAGGTATTATATTGTAAGGGTTCATAGGTTGTTTATAATTGCATACATTATTTACAGGTCAATTGTAAATGTTTATATGATATTATTGGTCAGGTCAATGTTGTTGCCCTAATAATTTAGGCTTAAGCGGCAACATTAATGATTTGACCTATTTTAACAATTTACCAGTGGTGGGAAAAGTACCCAATTGTCATACTTGAGTAAAAGTAAAGATACATTTACCTTAATAGGAAATGACTCAAGTAAAAGTGAAAGTCACCCAGTAAAATACTACTTGAGTAAAAGTAAACAAGTATTTGGTTTTAAATATACTTAAGTATCAAAAGTAAATGTCATTGCAAAAATTTACTTTAGTATCAAAAGTAAAAGTACAAGTATAAATCATTTCAAATTCCTTATATTAAGCAAACCAGTTGGCACAATTGTTCGTGTTTTTTTTATTTGCGCATTGTCAGCGGCACCCTCAGACATCATTCAGAAACAAAGCATTTGTGTTTAGTGAGATCAGAGGTAGTCGAGATGACCAGGGATGTTCTCTTGATAAGTGTGTGAATTGGACCATTTCTGTCCTGCTAAGCATTCAAAATGTAACGAGTACTTTTGGGTGTCAGGGAAAATGTATGGAGTAAAAAGTTCAGAATTTTCTTTAGGAATGTAGTAAAGTAAAAGTTGTCAAAAAATATAAATAGTAAAGTAATGTACAGATACCCCAAATAACTACTTAAGTCGTACTTTAAAGTATGTTTACTTAAGTGCTTTACACCACTGCAATTCACAAACGTCTATCAGCATCTTATAAACTATTTATAAGCTGGTTATAAACCCTGTATAAACTCTCAACATAAAGGGTAGCTACTGTAGCCTATCTTATCCAAACTGACCACCATAAAGTAGAGACAGTTTGCTTGCTCTCAGCCTCTTTCAGATTGTTAACTTTCTGGCACTGGTTTCCTCTCAAAACCCTGCAGACAGTCGGCCCGACCAATCCCAGCGGAGTGACGTCATGGCATCTGCAGCTCATTGAGATGAAAGGGAATGTTGAGGGCTGTGTTCAACTTCAAACCCAAGCCTGGCATCAAACAGCGAGCCCTCAGATAAACCAAACAAACAGACCAGGGATCGCACAGAGGGAGGCGACGCTGGAAGCGGAATAACAACACAACCAGATCTCGACGCCTTGCACTTTGCAAACTCTTTGCATTTCCACTTGAATGATCCCTCTATCTTGCATGCAAGTGTATCGACTTGTGAGGTTATTGTCATATGATCATAATGACCTGTTTGTAGCGCAAGTGTCCGCCCTGTGGTTGCGCTTTGATGTAGGCCTAGTGGCCGATCACAGATCAGATTACATGGTTTAGATCGCAGCCATCCCCTGCCTTTGATCTCCACGCTGATTTTGTCCTCAATCCGGGGATTCGTCTGGTCTGGAGCAGCGCAGCAGAGCAGCAAGCACATCGCATGGCTGGAATGGTCTGGAGCCCTATGCAGAACGCATAGGAGTGGATATCTGTCTGAAACTACGCTCATTCAGCCAGGGAAAGGACAACTAAAGAACCGATCAGACTACAGAAGCACATACCAGGTAAAACGTAAAGAGGGCTGCAGTTGTTTTGTAGCCTATATGATTTTGAAACATTCAACAAACTGAAACTATTAACATACATATTTAGAATTTTGATAAGATAATTCTGTCATATCCCTGGCTGGTTTGAGGCATGATGACGCATCACTGTCCTCGCTGAATATATCAACTATCTCATCAAAAACATTGTTACAATGTTCCAATGTAGTTGTTGCGAGAACAAATATAAAAGTGGCTGAGAACAAATATAATTTACCTGCTCATGAGTATTGTGCAAATGTTCACTGGCCATACATTGGGCTTTTTGACACCAATCCGAGGTTCCACAATATTCCTTTATGTTTGTTTTTTGTTGTTGAACAGAATAGAAATGCACATCTTCATACTATATCTCTCTCTTTTACAGAGTCATTCCACAGTAACCCCTCACAATGTCCTGGATGTTTGGGCACACCTGGTTACTTCTACTGACGTTTCATGTAATATACTCATCTCTGGTGAGTCCTTTCTACATTTAATTTACCCAACTAGTGTGATACCAGTCTTTTGATAGGCCATTTATAGTCCGATCTGTAATGTCCACGTATAGTAGACTTTGTAATAGTCTCCATTCTAAGTTACTGTTGTCAGATCTGGCAGGACATCAATGTGTGGATGGACAGATATAGTAGTCTACATAGTTTGAGGGTAAAATAGTGGCACTATTGTAAGGAGTTTACGCCCGCTCTGGACTCAGTTCACATTATCTCTTACTGATGAAATGCGTGATGAAAGGCAGGAATCCCTAGCTGCTCAGTATCAAATGATTATTCCCTCTCAGGTTCCTGTAACGGCGGAGGAGGAGACCAGAGAATGCAGGGAACAGGAGTACAAGGATCAGCTTGGGAACTGTAAACCCTGCAAGCAGTGCGACGCCGGGCAGGAGCTATCAAAGGTTTGAAGCCTAGTAATGTACCCTATATAGACAGTAAAACTTAGACATCAATAAATTATGGCCTCCTTAAGAGTGCCCTTAAATGTACTGCACTTTACATACAGACTTTAAAAATATGTGGGAAATGTACAGTTGAAGTCGGAAGTTTACATACACCTTAGCCAAATACATTTAAACTCAGTTTTTCACAATTCCTGACATTTAATCCTAGTAAAAATTCCCTGTCTTAGGTCAGTTAGGATCACCACTTTATTTTAAGAATGTGAAATGTCAGAATAATAGTAGCGAGAATGACTTATTTCAGCTTTTATTTCTTTCATCACATTCCCAGTGGGTCAGAAGTTTACATACACTCAATTAGTATTTGGTAGCATTGCCTTTAAATTGTTTAACTTGGGTCAAACGTTTTGGGTAGCCTTCCACAAGCTTCCCACAATAAGTTGGGTGCATTTTGGCCCAATCCTCCTGACAGAGCTGGTGTAACTGAGTCAGGTTTGTAGGCCTCCTTGCTCGCACATGCTTTTTCAGTTCTGCCCACACATTTTCTATAGGATTGAGGTCTTTCTGAAATCCACTCCAATACCTTGACTTTGTTGTCGTTAAGCCATTTTGCCACAACTTTGGAAGTATGCTTGGGGTCATTGGCCATTTGGAAGACCCATTTGCGACCAAGCTTTATCTTCCTGACTGATGTCTTGAGATGTTGCTTCAATATATCCAGATAATTTTCCTTCCTCATGATGCCATCTATTTTGTGAAGTGCACCAGTCCCTCCTGCAGCAAAGCACCCCCACAGCATGATGCTGCCACCCCCATGCTTCACGGTTGGGATGGTGTTCTTCGGCTTGCAAGTGTCCCCCTTTCTCCTCCAAACATAACGATGGTCATTATGGCCAAACAGTTCTATTTTTGTTTCATCAGACCAGAGGACATTTCTTCAAAAAGTACGATCTTTGTCCCCATGTGCAGTTGCAAACCGTAGTCTGGCTTTTTTATGGCGGTTTTGGAGCAGTGGCTTCTTCCTTGCTGAGTGGCCTTTCAGGTTATGTCGATATAGGACTCGTTTTACTGTGGATATAGATGCTTTTGTACCTGTTTCCTCCAGCATCTTCACAAGGTCCTTTGCTGTTGTTCTGGGATTGATTTGCACTTTTTGCACCAAAGTATGTTCATCTCTAGGAGACAGAACGCGTCTCCTTCCTGAGCGGTATGCCGGCTGCGTGGTCCCATGGTGTTTATACTTGCGTACGATTGTTTGTACAGATGAACGTGGTACCTTCAGGCGTTTGGAAATTGCTTCCAAGGATGAACCAGACTTGTGGAGGTCTACCATTTCTGTTCTGAGGTCTTGGCTGATTTCTTTAGATTCTCCCATGATGTCAAGCAAAGAGGCACTGAGTCTGAAGGTAGGCCTTGAAATACATCCACAGGTACACCTCAAATTGACTCAAATGATGTCAATTAGCCGATCAGAAGCTTCTAAAGCTATGACATCATTTTCTGGAATTTTCCAAGCTGTTTAAAGGCACAGTGAACTTAGTGTATGTAAACTTCTGACCCACTGGAATTGTGATACAGTGAATTATAAGTGAAACTATCTGTCTGTAAACAATTGTTGGAAAAATTACTTGTGTCATGCACAAAGTAGATGTCCTAACCGACTTGCCAAAACTTTAGTTTGTTAACAAGAAATGTGTGGAATGGTTGAAAAACGAGTTTTAATGACTGCAACCTAAGTGTATGTAAACTTCCGACTTCAACTGTAGTTGTCCCAATGATTCCACCTCAGTTGAATCCGTTTATAGCATACTTCATCACAGTTGAAAGGAAAACATTTGTCACTGTTCACCTTGATCTATAAAAAGGAAAGAGACTAAAACCATGATAAAACTGGATACAAATAGATCACTTAAATCATGTTGTAACTTCCTAAACCTGAATAACCTCTGGATAAGATATACCCTTGGTAAAAAAAAAAAAAAAAAAGCTTTTTCATGCGTTCATGAATAGAATGGATCCCAGTGTTTAGAATAGTGAATCTTATCCAGGGGACTGAGAGGTTATTTATGACTTCCTCTGTTTCATGGAGAAAAGGGCCAAATGGCTTTTGTAGAACACTGACCGCTCTTTAATCAGTCACACCCATACTTCGACCCTCTGTTGCTGAATGGATTCCATTGTTTTTCCTCAAGTTCCCTGTCCAAGTTATTGTCTCCATTGTTTGAAGGAAACCATGCATACACTTGCTGTACAGTGAGAGGTGTATGCCTTTTATCACTATTCTTGCCAAAGACATGGTGTTCTGTGTGGGCTGTGTAGAAACGGGTTGGAAGGCCATGAGCAAAGTTAGTTTAGCAATGCTTTTCCTCCTACCACTTAAACATATGCTCAGCTAAGCACAGATTTAAAAAAAAAACGTCCATCTTATACTAAATTGCTGTCTCGTAACATCTGTTGCACACACACATTTCTACCAGGTTGCCTTTTATCTTGGTACACACAGACATGCAGTCAGTGGTGGTACGCTTCAGTGGGCCTCATGTTCCTCTGCCAGTTCAACAGCCATGAATGCTTGACGCCCTGGGGTCCTGGTTAATAATTGGCTGCCTCATTCATTCTAAGTGGTAGCGGGAAGCCATCTCACAGTGGAGGGAGGCTCTAATAAGGCTGTGTGGCTGCCATAGAGATATATGGAATGTGATTATACCTTCTTCTGGATGTCTGCCTGTATTGTTGCAAAGCAACATCACAAACATAAATTTGCTCTTCGTTCAGGGAACCACCAAAGCATCAGGGAAGTCCTTTATTAAAATGATCTGATATTTGTCATTTTCATCAATAACTTTTTAGCTAGCAAGGGTTGCTTTGTCTTTTTTGCTTTGTCTTTTGGCCTCATATCAAACATACATACTGTTAAGAACTACATTCAGCCACCAGAAGTTTCAAATGACAGAGATAGCTAATATACGATTCACTCTGACCCGAGTGGTCTCGACAACAATCTTGATTAATGTTGATTAAGCTTCCTGGCATTGAGGGTCAGATTGTTGCAAGCTCTTCTGAGTATCACACAGGTTTCTGTCTATTAAATCCTCAGAAATTACAGAAGTCTTCGCCTTGTCTTTCATCCAGCATTTCTTCACATTTGAGCAAATCTATGATTCCAAACAATATATACATACAGGAATGACTGCCCCACATATAGTGCATGCATGCTGGGAACTTTGCATTAAGCCACTGGCAAAGAGGCAACATGTCTTCGATTTGTAGACACTAGACATTGAAAGAGGGTGGCAGTGTGTGGAGAACATTAGATGGCACACTGCGTTAACAAACTCATATTGTTTTCCGAGCTCATTCATTACTGGATCAGATGACTGCTGACCCCCCCCCCCCCCCCCCGAGACTCTTGTGATTCCCTCCTAATCTCTGAACTATCTCCCTGTCTGAACATGCTTTAACCCCAGCCAGCTCTCTCTCTCTCCCCTCCACACAGCTCTACCTCTGTGCTCACCAAAAACTAGATCTGGTGATAGGAGTAAAATTAGACTTGTAAGCACTAGCTTTTGTGCTCACTTTGAGGCTAGGTCATCCTAAACCCATGGAAGTAATGACGCACTTGAAAGATAATTTGCCTATACCCAATTAGCTCCATTGAAATGAGATAGTAGCATTATGTGATTCCTGGCTGCACCCAAAGATGGGATACCTTGACAGCATCTTTATTGTAAAAAAATAAATATGTATCCATCCAATTACCAAATATGTTTTCTCACATTAGACACCTGAACAGGTCAGGGTGTTAGACCTTGTTTTGATCCTTTGTTACTCAGGACAAAGGACTGAATGAGATCATTCCTGGATGTTACAGCTCTGCCTGGTTGGAGAGGTGACAAGTTGGCTGAGTGCTCCTTTTGTTCTGGGCCCTGGCCTGTGTAAGTGGCAGCCCCTCTACTGCCATGCAGTGCCACATGGACAAAGTGTGCCAGCGCTCAGCTTTGTGGGGATGAATCCTCCTAGGGCCCCTTCATCTGGAAGTCGGACCACGCTCCTCCGTCCAAAACCACTCTAAACAGCTCTGCTCTGACTGCTTTGCAGCAGCTAGCCTTCCGTGGCGTGCACTAGGAGAAACCCAGGCTCCAGGGTTCACCATCCTCCATGAATCAAAATTCTAACTTTATTTCCTTCTCTCCGTTGTCATCATCCCCCTCTCCCTCCCTCTCTCTCTCACCCTGGCTCTGTCTCTCATCTTTCCACTGTTCCCTGCACTGCTGGTGTGAAGGTCCTTATATAGAGAGCACACAACAACAGCTGCAGCCCTGCCCTAGCTCTCCTCCGGCCAGAGCCAAGGTCCAATGTCGTCTCATATGTGTTTGGCTGAAATGGCCAAATTCCTATCTTCTGCCCGACTCTGTGGGGCCATCACGGGATCCCATCTTTGCCACGCTTTTTTTTCTTTCTTCGCCAGTCTGCCCAACCCCCCGGGCTCCTGTGCCCACATTCCGGTGCGACTGCATGCCCAGGCGGTGAAACGTGACAAGGTCAAGGAGAGAAGTGCCCTGTTTGAATCTGACCTTCACGTTAATGATATATGAGCCTCCCCCCACCCATCAGTCAGGCTGGGAATGCAGTGTGGCAACAGTGGACGGGGGCAGCTGCTGCAGACAATACAATGACTGATGTTATTCCAGCAGGGTCCTTTAACTTGGCGTGGGATGCGATGATCAGTAGGAATGTAAATGTTCCTATGACCATATGAAATCAAGGTTGCCAGCCTCTGTGTGCCAAATAAATACTATATAGTGCCGATTAGGAATCGCAATAACACTAGACATCATTTGATCCAAGATGACGTAGCAGTGCGGTCGTGTTTTTTTCTGTGTCCTTGCACGTTTTTTAGTTTTTTGTCTATTTTGTCTATATTTCTCAATTTTACTTTTCATTCTTTAACTAAATATACTTTCCTGCAACCCGCCTCACCCAACGTGGAAAGGATTCTATTATTTCTTTATAACTTTTATCAAGAACATTAAGCTGAAACTAGCCTAGCTGCAACCGAATGGCTACTTGCTATTAGCCACCGTTAGCGTCTTCACCATTGTCTGTGGCCTGCACTACCCACCAGCCAGCTCTAGCTCTAGCCTGGACAATTTGTCGGCCAGTCTGCACAGCGTGCTATCGACCCAGAGCATATCGGATTTTCTGCCGGAATCACTGGACCCTAGCGCCGGATCATCGCAACCAGCTAGCTGCAACCAAATGGCTGTTGTCGTTGGCTAATTACCATTGCCCCTTAGCAAGCACACATTAGCCTTGAGCTAGCCTCGAGCCAGGCCCATCTCCCGGCTATCTACCTCTCTGTCAACTGGACGGGACCTCCTAGTGTTGACACAGAGCCCCGCCGATCCAACACGACTGGTTTGCCGACAAAATCGTCTGATGTGGTTTCAACAGGCTTCCCGTTATGACGTCGACCACGAAGATCCATCTGCTAGCCCCGGCCCGCTAGCACACGCAAGCCGGGCCTCTTGCTCGCCAGTGCTGTAGCAGCCCCCGAACTACCTCCGAACTCTCCTATTGCTGTTCACCGGACCTTATGATAACTCAGCTATACAGCTGATGTCTGCTGGACTGTTCCTTTATACGGTACCGCATCCTGTTTATGTTTAGCCTCAGCCCAAACTTTGTCACCATTACCAGCTTTTGTCTTAGCTCTCTCGAATAACACCTGTGATTGCTTTATGCCTCTCTCCCATGTCAATATGCCTTGTTATTGCTGTTTTGGTTATTTCTTATTGTACTATTTCACTGTAGAGCCCCTAGCCCAGCTCAACCTGCCTTAGACAGCTCCTTTGTCCCACCCCCCATACACGCAGAGACCGACTCAATCGGTGCCTCCAGTGATGCTATCTCTTTCATCGTTACCCAACGCTTAGGTTTACCTCCACTGTACTCATATCCTTCCATATCCTTGTCTGTACATAATGCCCTGAATCTATTCTACAACGCTCGGAAATCTTCCCCTTTTTTTCTCTGTACCCAACGCACTAGAAGACCAGTTCTTAAAGCCTTTAGCCGTATCCTTATTCTACTCCTCCTCTGTTCCTCTGGTGATGTAGAGGTTAACCCAGGCCCTGTAGCGCCCAGTATCACTCCTACACCCCAGGCGTTATCATTTGTTGACTTCTGTAATCGTAAAAGCCTTGGTTTCTTGCACGTTAACATCCGAAGCCTCCTCCCTAAGTTTGAGTTATTCACTGCGTTAGCACACTCCGCCAACCCTGATGTTCTAGCAGTGTCTGAATCCTGGCTTAGGAAGGCCACCCTTCTTTTCTAAAATTAGCTGCCGAAATTGTCACAACCCCTATTACTAGCCTGTTCAACCTCTCTTTCGTAACGTCTGAGATCCCCAGAGATTGGAAAGCTGCCGCGAATGAACTGCAAAAATCTCTGAAGCTGGAGACTCTTATCTCCCTCACTAACTTTAGGCTTCAGTTGTCAGAACAGCTTACCGATCACTACACCTGTACACAGCCCATCTGTAATTAGCCCATCCAACTACCTCAACTCCATATTGTTATTTATTTTGCTAATTTGCACCCCAGTATCTCTATTTGCACATCTATCATTCCAATGTTAATACGAAATTGTAACTATTTTGCACTATGGCCTATTTATTGCCTTACCTCCATAATTTACTACATTCGCACACACTGTATATATATTTTCTGTTGTATTTTTGACTTTATGTATTGTTTACCCCATATGTAACTCTGTGTTGTTGTTTTTATCGCACTGCTTTGCTTTATCTTGGCCAGGTCGCAGTTGTAAATGAGAACTTGTTCTCAACTGGCTTACCTGGTTAAAAAAATGGTGAAATAAAAATAAAAAATAAATAGACCTACTACATACAGTGGTTTGCGAAAGTATTCACCCCCCCTTGGCATTTTTCCTATTTTGTTGCCTTACAACCTGGAATTAAAATGGATTTTTGGGGGGTTTGTATCATTTTATTTACACAACATGCCTACCACTTTGAAGATGCAACATTTTATTTTTGTGTGAAACAAACAAGAAATAAGACAAAAAACATAACTATTAACCCCCCCCCCCAAAGTCAATACTTTGTAGAGCCACCTTTTGCAGCAATTACAGCTGCAAGTCTCTTGGGGTATGTCTCTATAAGCTTGGCACATCTAGCCACTGGGATTTTTGCCCATTCTTCAAGGCAAAACTGCTCCAGCTCCTTCAAGTTGGATGGGTTCCGCTGGTGTACAGCAATCTTTAAGTCATACCACAGATTCTCAATTGAATTCCAAAACCACTCGAGTGTTGCTTTAGCAGTATGCTTAGGGTCATTGTCCTGCTGGAAGGTGAACCTCCGTCCCAGTCTCAAATCTCTGGAAGACTGAAACAGGTTTCCCTGAAGAATTTCCCTGTTTTTAGCGCCATCCATCATTCCTTCAACTCTGACCAGTTTCCCAGTCCCTGCCGATGAAAAACATCCCCACAGCATGATGCTGCCACCACCATGCTTCACTGTGGGGATGGTGTTCTCGGGGTGATGAGAGGTGTTTGGTTTGCGCCAGACATAGCGTTTTCCTTGATGGCCAAAAAGCTAAATTTTTGTCTCATCTGACCGGAGTACCTTCTTCCATATGTTTGGGGAGTCTACCACATGCCTTTTGGCGAACACCAAACGTGTTAAGCAATGTCTTTTTTCTGGCCACTCTTCAGTAAAGCCCAGCTCTGTGGAGTGTACGGCTTAAAGTGGTCCTATGGACAGATACTCCAATCTCTGCTGTGGAGTTTTGCAGCTCCTTCAGGGTTATCTTTGGTCTCTTTGTTGCCTCTCTGATTAATGCCCTCCTTGCCTGGTCCGTGAGTTTTGGTGGGCGGCCCTCTCTTGGCAGGTTTGTTGTGGTGCCATATTCTTTCAATTTTTAATAATGAATTTAATGGTGCTCCGTGGGATGTTCAAAGTTTCAGATATTTTTTTATAACTCAACCCTGATCTGTACTTCTCCACAACTTTGTCCCTGACCTGTTTGGAGAGCTCCTTGGTCTTCATGGTGCCGCTTGCTTGGTGGTGCCCCTTGCTTAGTGGTGTTGCAGACTCTGGGGCCTTTCAGAACAGGTGTATATATACTGAGATCATGTGACAGATCATGTGACACTTAGATTGCACACAGGTGGACTTTATTTAACTAATTATGTGACTTCTGAAGGTAATTGGTTGCACCAGATCTTATTTAGGGGCTTCATAGCAAAGGGGGAGAATACATATGCACGCACCACTTTTCCGTTATTTATTTTTTAGATTTTTTAGAAACAAGTAATTCTTTTAATTTCACTTCACCAATTTGGACTATTTTGTGTATGTCCATTACATGAAATCCCAAATAAAAATCCAGTTAAATTACAGGTTGTAATGCAACAAAATAGGGAAAACGCCAAGGGGGATGAATAAATTTTGCAAGGCACTGTACACCCCATTATATATTTTTTGTTAAAACAGAATAGGCTATATTCTCTTGTCCCCATTTTATGAGGTGTACCCATTAATCCAATAGTAAACAGATACACTCAGGTTAAATAGATAATATATACAGGGTGATAATACTGTATATCCAATATGGATCCAGTAATATTTTCCATCTTAGATTCGCTATAGGGGTTAAAGCCTGACAACTGAGCTGATTCCATATTAGATCACTCATTCAGTAATGGGATGTGTAAAGTGCAGTGCCCATTGTAGAGACCAGGAGAGGAATTCAACTTCTTACGCTTGTGCACCTCTCCATAATCGCTGCCCCCTAGCTAACTGAAGCGTTGCCTACATATACTGGCCTCTCAATCACCAGGACACTGACTGAGTTGTTCCAGAAAGAACCAGTCGCACATAAACCCAGCAATAAACTTGCAATAAAACCTGGCCATTCTGGGGCCTGCAGCGGAAGGCCACGCATTGATTCTGAGAGAGTCAGGGAGATTATTACCAGTGTAAGATGGACTCTCAAAAGAGTCAGACCATTGTTACCTTATGATCTTGAAAGCTAAGATTATTCTTTAATTCTAGACACCCTGGTATCCCACATTCAGAGCCTTTCTCCAGCTGCCCCCAACCCCACCTCTCACCCGGGGGATTTCTCCTGTTAATCCCTCCAGGAATGTGGCTTTGGTTACGGAGAGGATGCCCGGTGTGTGCCCTGCAGAAGCAGCCGCTTCAAAGAGGATAGGAGCCTGCAGAAGTGTAAGCCCTGCCTGGACTGTGGCCTGAACAACCGCTTCCAGAAGGGCAACTGTTCCACCACCAGAAATGCTGTGTGCGGAGACTGTCTGCCTGGGTGAGGGAAGAGCTTAATCACTTCCAACAACTACTCTACTTCTACTACCAGTGTACTACTACTCTGTTACTACAGATAATGGTCAAAGTATTGGTTCATTACTGCACACAATCAATTAAGCAGATTTATGAGAACTTTCATAACAACCAATGCTATGTTGTGTTTAACAGGTTTTACAGGAAAACTAAGCTGAGCGGATTCCAAGATATGGAGTGCATACCATGTGGGGACCCTCCACCTCCATATGAACCACACTGTGAGCACTCACTTTCTCTTCCTTTACTACAAGTTGTGTAACATCAGAAGAGCCTCTGAGGAAAAGTTCTCAATAACTTGAACCATTCACATCAGGCCAAGGAATGTAAACTGTGAAATTATAGACAAAATAAGTAATATCCGTAGCTTGAATGAGAAGTTGAGAAAATCATGAATTGCTAAAACTGTTGAACTCCAGGCTAAAAGTACAGCCAAGACCCCAAAAATGTGTCAGGCCATAATGCCATAACAAAGCACATACCTTAATCTAAAACATGCCAGCACAAGGCACTTAGAGTAATCAGAACCACAACCCCAATGGGTGGAGAAAATCATTGTTCATTCAGTAAATTCTCATTGAGCCAGCCAACTATGTTTTATGCCCAAGTAAATGCTTAGTTTTACAAGCAGGCCCATAAATGTTGAAATGGATACTGCTAGCATAATAGTCGGTCTTGCCAGAGCTGGATTGTTTTTGCTGGGACCATACGACCCACTATCATCGCTCCATTCTCAGGGACTGCGGAAAACCTCCATCCACATATTTCAAGACAAAAAGGAGCTGCAATGTTTTGAAATACTAGTGTTGAAATTATTGCATCACATCATGCTTCTTTAGTTAGCTCTTGAATTAAATAAGAAAGCGCAGTGTCACATGATGTACAGTATATCTTCAGAGGAAATTCTTCAACTTTGTAGTGCAATTTGCTAGCACTTTCTGTGTATCCACGGAGGTCTATTAAGCATTTCTTAAAGGGGTTTTTGTTCACAAAGCAGCAGATTTAATTCCAGTAGGCCACTACTACATCTCATTAGCCACCTTTTTCCGGCCATTACCAGTGGTTAAGTATAACCTTATGATTTTCGGCACTCACACAGAGAGAGTGGGCTAGCTAACTTATACATTTGGTAAATTAGTGTGACTTCCTGATGCTTGTGGAGGCCGCAGCTGTTCCTTGAGAAGGTTTGGCAGCGTGTGTGCATGAGCCGTCCAGCCAGGTCTAGCACCCCTCTGTTAGATAAATGAAGACGTCTCCAGGATATCAGACAACTTGAACTCACAAACTCAGTTTACATTTGCTCTTTCTGGAGATGGAAAATAATCTGCGTCAATTTAGTAAAGCTGTGTCACACCCTCAAAATGAGCTAGTTTTACTACTACCATTTTTGGATAGGACAATAAATATTTATTTTAAAACAATAACTGTAAAGCATGCAGTGTTAGTTAGAGAGAGTCTACATATTACTAAACCATATGAAATCACCCTGAACATGGGCCTTGGGACATCTAAGCTATGCACGTCTGTCTGTCTGTTTAGCTGGCTGTCTGGCTTGCCATTTTGATTGCAGAGGCCCATGAATCAAAATTGCCATTGTGTCCCAGAGAGAGCAAAGCTGGTAGTTACTATAGGGAGTCTCAGTGGAATGCGTCCAAATGTTTGAAAGTCTTGATCTCTCTTCCTCCAGTGTTATCTTGTGGAGGGTGGTGAAAACTTAAAGGGCAGATCATGCTAAAAGGCCACACTGGCCCGGGGTGAAGCTGCAGCTGTGCAGGGAGGCCGCTTTCGGAGGAGGCCGTAAATCTTAACGCACTTCAGTCTCCTGGCCAGTTTCTGGGGCAGAGTAAAAATGAGATTGTGTTTTATGGATTCCTTCAGTCGCTTTAATGTATTTCATCTGCTGGAGTTTTTTTCTGTGTCACGGTAGAGTACGGGTGGGGGCGATATGAACTAAAAGTAATATCACGATATTTTCCACTGTCCGGACGATAACGATATAATATCACGATATACTGAAAAAAAGAAAAAAAAGTTTTTTTTTGAAATTTTATGAGCCCTTCAACGTTAATAAATGACAAAATCTTGCTTTTACCTTATAGAAACATTGCCATTTTTTAAAACTTCTGTGGTAAACCTGTGCAAATATGAAACATTGTGATGAGGTGATTTCGAAGGAGTCAGGCGCAGGAGGGTAAATCACAGAATAACAGGATTTATTCTGAAACACAGAGTTACGCAGTAATGTGTCAAAACACTCGCACTGGAAAATACCAGGCACACAGGGAAATATCCCGGCGACACAAAATACACGGAGCTCCACCAAGCTTCTCTATCCTCCACAATAAACAATCACACAAAAAGACAAGGGGGCAGAGGGAACACTTATACAGGTACTGATGAGGGGATATGAACCAGGTGTGTGTAATAGACAAGACAAAACAAATGGAATGATGAGATGAGGAGCGGCAGTGGCTAGAAGGCCGGTGACAACGAACGCCAAAGCATGCCTGAACAAGGAGAGGTGGCAGCTTCGGAGGAAGTCGTGACATTACCCCCCCCCCCCCCCCCCCCTTGACGTGCAGCTCCAGCAGCGCGCCGACACCGGCCTCGGGGGCGGCCAGGAGGACGCGGAGCAGGGCGAGCCGGATGGCGATAGTGGAAATCCCGCAATAGGGAGGGATCGAGGATATCCCTCACCGGAACCCAGCACCGCTCCTCCGGACCGTACCCCTCCCACTCCACGAGGTACTGAAGGCCCCCCACATGACGCCTCTAATCCAGGATGGAACAGACGGAGTACGCCGGGGCCCCCTCGATGTCCAGAGGGGACGAGGGAACCTCCCGCACCTCAGACTCCTTTAGCGGACCAGCCACCACCGGCCTGAGGAGAGACACATGGAACGAGGGGTTAATACAGTAATCTGGAGGGAGTAATAACCTATATGTAACCTCGTTTATCCTCCTCAGGACTTTGAACGGCCCCACAAACCGCAGGCTCAGCTTCCAGCAGGGCAGGCGGAGGGGCAGATTCTGGGTCGAGAGCCAGACCCGATCACCCGGTACCAATACCGGGGCCTCACTGCGGTGGCGGTCAGCGTTGGCCTTCTGGCGACGCACGGCACGCTGGAGGGGCACGTGAGCAGCATTCCACGTCTCCTCCGCGCGCCGAAACCAGTCATCCACCGCAGGAGCTTCGGTCTGGCTCTGATGCCACGGTGCCAGAACCGGCTGATAACCTAAAACACATCGAAAGGGCAATAGGTTAGTGGAGGAGAGAGTTCTGGGCATATTCTGCCCATGGCAAGAACACCGACCACTCCCCCGGCCGGTCCTGGCAGTAGGACCGCAGGAACCTACCCACATCCTGATTCACCCGTTCCAACTGCCCATTACTCTCGGGGTGAAGCCCAGAGGTCAGGCTGACGAGACCCCCAGACATTCCATGAACGCCTTCCAGACCCTGGATGTAAACTGGGGACCCTGGTCAGACACTATGTCCTCTGGTACTCCGTAGTGCTGGAAGATGTGAGTTAACAGGGCCTCCGCAGTCTGCAGGGCCGTGGGGAGACCGGGCAGAGGAAGGAGGCGGCAGGCTTTTGAAAAGCGGTCCACAACGACCAGGATGGTGGTGTTACTCTGAGAGAGGGGAAGATCAGTGAGAAAGTCATACACAGGTGGGACCATGTCCGTTGTGGAACTGGTAAGGGCTGTAACTTACCCGCTGGGAGGTGCCTAGGTGCCTTACTCTGGGCGCACACCGAGCAGGAGGAGACATACACGTCCTTAGCCAAAGTAGGCCACCAGTACTTTCCGGTCAGGCAGCGCACTGTACGACCGATACCTGGGTGACCAGAGGAGGGGGACGTGTGTGCCCAATAGATCAGACGGTCACGGCCAAGAGAAGGCACGTACTGCAGCCCAGCTGGACACTGACGTGGAGATGGCTCTGTGCGTAACGCCCGCTCTATGTCCGCGTCCATCACACACACTACCAGCGCCACAATGCAGGAGGCCGGGAGTATGGGGGTGTTGTCTATGGGCCTCTCCTCTGTGTTGTACAGCCGTGACAGTGTGTCTGCCTTCACGTTCTTCGTACCCGGGATGTAAGATAGTGTAAAGTCAAACCGGGTGAAGAATAGGGCCCACCTGGCCTGGCGAGGGTTCAGCCTCCTCGCTGCCCGGATGTACTCCAGGTTACGGTGGTCCGTCCAGACGAGGAAAGGGTGTTCCACCCCCTCGAGCAAATGCCTCCACACGGTCAGGGCTCGGACAACAGCCAACAGGTCCCGATCACCAACGTCGTAGTTCTGCTCCGCCGTGCTGAGCTTCTTGGAGAAGAAGGCACAGGGGCGGAGCTTGGCTGGCGTGCCCAAGCGTTGAGATAGGACAGCGCCTATCCCTACCTCGGACACATCCACCTCCACTACAAAAGGTAGTGATGGATCAGGATGGGCCAGTACCGGGGCTGAGGTGAACAGAACCCTCAGGTTGCTGAAGGCCCTGTCAGCCTCAGCAGACCAGCGGACCGGGACGGCCCACCCTTCAACAGAGATGTGATGGGAGCTGCGACCTTGCCAAAGCCCCGGATAAACCTCCGATAGTAGTTGGCAAAGCCAATAAAGCGCTGCACCTCCTTTACCGTAGTTGGAGTCGGCCAATTACACACGGCTGAAATGCGATCTCCTTCCATCTCCACACCTGAGGTGGTAATGCGGTATCCGAGGAAGGAGACGGACTGTTGGAAAAACAGACACTTTTCTGTTCCAACAGTCGGGCCAGCACTTTGCGGAATACACCAGAATGTCATCGATGTAGACCACTACACCACGACCAAGCATGTCCCGAAACACCTCATTCACAAAGGACTTGAAGACGGATGGAGCATTCATTAAACCGTACGACATCATACGGCATCACCAGGTATTTGTAATGCCCCGTGATTGTGCTGAATGCTGTCGGACACGCAACAGGTTGTACGCACTCCGATCTAATTTTGTGAAGAAGCACGCCCCATGCATTGACTCGATCACAGATGGAATGAGGGGTAGAGGATAACTATAACGTATTGTCCCCTTGTTCAGTGCTCGGTAATCAATGCAAGGGCGCAGACCTCCGTCTTTCTTCTTCACAAAAAATTAACTTGAGGAGGCGGGTGAAGTGGAGCGACGTATGAACCCCTAGCGCAGGGACTCGGAGACATATGTCTCCATCGCTTCCGTT